GGCAAACACCATGGAAGTTGCATTGTAAACTGTTCAGCTGGCAGGGTTGAAAAATTATTTGAGAGCACCCTGTTTTTTTCATCCTCTGAGTCTAGGAAATACAACAGTGATAGTCCTGCGTTATAGGATGTGTTCAGCTATGATTGTGGTAGTGGGATAAGCCTACTGGCCCTGCACCGTTTCTTCATCTGATCACCACATGTGGGCACCCACAGGTAAAAAGGATCTGTCCCTGTAGGTTCTGCATGGTCTGTAGTCCCCATCTTCCACACTGTATAGATTGCACATAGAGTCTGTGCACTGGCGATGGGGGCCTTGTCTGAGCAGCCGGGTCTCAGACTCAGAGCAGGGAACAGTCAGTTGCTTCCATCTCAGTTCCATCCCCAGCAGAGAAATGAGACCCCCTGTCCCTGATCTCAGTCTGAGACAGACACCATCTCTGCAGTGCTTACATTTTGAATGCTACAAGTGGGTCCTGCAGTAAAATACAGCTGGAATGCTCCTTCTCAGGATTTCAGCCAGTCAGTCCTGTCCTCCTTCAGGATACTAGAAACTGGAATGATCTCAAGCAGGACATTCTATCCTCCTCCCCAGCATTCTGTTTTTTGTTTCCAGCTGACACTCACAGTTCTGTGGCTAGTGAGCATGCTTCATCCTCAGTCAGCCGATTGGTAGTTTTGACTGTTAGTGCAATTGTAAAAGTATAAGGTTTATTTGCTTGTTTTTTTTTCTATTTATGCCATCTCTTAGGTTTCTTACCTCTTTTAGTAAGCAGCTTTTTTCTTTCATAACACATGGTTGAACTATTTTACCCGTGCAGCTACTTAAAATGAACCTGTCACATGTGAAAACAAATCAGATTGTTGTGAGATTGCTAATGAGCTTTTCCATTTACTTATTCAGTGGTTCAGATAAATAGATTTAAGAGGCAATGATCCTGTTTAGCACTCAAGCTTAGCTGTCAGATTCTTATAGTTGAGGGACATCTCTAGGGATACATGTTGACATAGATCTTGATGGGATAATAGGAATCAAAGCCAATGCATGATAAAAGGAGTAGCAAGAACTACAAGGATAACTGTGGATTAAAGGAGTGTTCTTTGTTAAGTTTGACATCTCTCCCAGTGTTTTGTTTAACCCTGATCTGAATGTTAATTGACCGCAGAACAAAATGCTAACATAGCGCATGGTTTCCTCTGCCTTGCATTTTTTTTCTTTCATTTTCATGCTAGGATATCATATGCAGAGAGTAAAAAATCCCAAACTGCTGTTGTACTCCACATATAGTATAGATATTTTATGGTATCATTTGCAAATACTAAAGATACAAAAGAGACAAGGTGAGCACTTTTGTATATGGATATTAAATATCTAAGGATTATAGCTACCTTTGCAATCCCCTTTATAAATAAGTCTGTGCTCATGGAAAGTCTTGCATTCTCCTACACAAACAAATTCAACCCACTAAAAAAGAATAACCCTATATTCAACTCTTCCTTGCCTATAAAGCATGGTGAAGAGAATATTCGTATTACTAAATGATTATTTACCCAAACAAGTTATCTCTGGACACTTCTGAAAATGAAATGTTACATGTGATCATGAAACCTATTTTCAGACACCAAAGGCCCTCCAAGCCAGATTCCATAAGGAAACTCATAAGCATCATTTGCTAATTTGAGCATTTGATAGGTAGAGCCATGCGTTCTTTGAATCTGATGGTTCCTGTTCTGCCTTAGCTATAACCTAATTATTATACATTGAACCTTATCACCCAGCATATCAAGGATTTATTTTTATCTTAGTAGTAAATTATTACTGTCGACTTGAAAATCTTACATATAGTTAGAATAGAATGATGTATTCTTGGTGTTAAGTCTGATGAATGCTATGGAGGTTGAGCATGACATCCATTTTAATTCTAATTTTAAAATGCATAAAATATTTTACAAAGCTCTCAAGATTTGTTTCTTATAGAGTAGCATATATCTCAAGAATAAAGGTGGAGGATACCTTAGTATTGACTTAATTAATATTTAGACTACTTAATATTAAAAATCTTAAAGTGGTCTACATGCAATAGTAAGTCACATTTAAGTATGACATTACATACTCTTAAAAGCTGTTTGTTAAAATAACAAAACAAATTTAGTTAAATAACATCACTGCAGAACAATCTGGTGAAGTTGCTTGTAACCCTCCAAACTCGGAGGCTTATGGAAAGTGGTAAGAGCACTGAGGCAAAGGTGATCTCCATGCTTCTCTTGCCCTGCAAAACACTTAGACAACTGATTTTGGCCATCGCAGTGTTCTGCCCTGGAGCGCAATGAGAGGGGACTGAAGTACTGTCAGGATACTGCATATGTTGGCAGAGCCTGTCTCTTCTAACCCCTGCTACCGAAAACGCAACTGCAGAATCACTTTTATATCCTTGGAGTTGCAGCTGGCACAATTCTTTCTATACTGGCTGTGAGGGTTTAGGGAAGAGTTGAAGCCCCAGCTCTGACTTAAAAGTTTCTGAGATCAGTGATTGGACTCCAAATAAACTTATGGCCACCTAAGAGCTCTCTAGCAGCCATAGGATTGCTCACTCAAACTACTTGTGGTAGAATCTGGAATAAGAACATAGAGTTGTATTCAACATAGCACTAGCAGATAAAACATGAGGTAGCAATCTGCTAGTGGTTATATTTTCTCCTAGTGATGACCGTTAGCACTAGTGAATCACCAAGTACCACTTCAGCAATCAATAGCATAGCGTAACTCTTCTTCATGGTCTCTGTTCATCACACACATGGGTTTTACACCTGCATGGAGCCTGGTTCAGGAAGATTCTCAGCTTTGATGTGCTTGTTGGAAAGCCCCCCATTGGCCCTGCCCTGGCATGTGGGAGTGGTTCTCACCCAATTCTTAGTTCTTGGACTACCATCATAGGTACATTGGGAAGCTCTTTCTCCACATTCTCAAAGCTGTCCTTGCCTTTTGAAAATCCCTTCTCACCTCTCTGTTCTCCTCTTAAATGCTTGCTTCCTCTCTACTGATTTTTTTCTTACCAAAGCTCTCGCCTTCCAAATTCATTCCTTATTAACACACACACACACACACACACACACACGTACTATAGACTATGCCCCTATCTCAGCCCTCTCTGATCTACATTTCTCCACCCTTTCCATCCTAACCTACTCTGGCTCCCCTTTCCACTTTCTGCTCTGCAGTGGCACACAAAGCACCATTCAGAAAGTGCTTCCATTGCAGCAGCAAACTACCCCCAATGCACAGCCATTCTCTGTGCCTCTTTTCCCTGGGAGAGAATCATGTGCCAGACCTTCCCCAAGCAGGCCAGGAAGCACAGGGCCTACCGCCTCGATGCTAAACTATGCTGCAGGGCCCTGCACAGGGTTGGGCCCTCCACATGTACCTTAGAGGCTCTGACATCTTCACTGGCTCCATCTCTCCCAACCATGGCTGGAGCAATCTCCCCAGACAACTTGCCAGCTCCGTATGTGGGTTACACAGACCCCACAAGGAAAAAAGTAAAGCTGCTTATCTATAACTGTTGTTCTTCAAGTAGTCATCTGTGCATTTACACAACCCACCCTCCTTCCCCTCTTTGGTGTTGCTTATTGGTGTCACTCCCCACCCCCCTTTCTCAACACAAAGTTGGTCTCATGTCACCTGAACTGAGGAATGGGCCAGAGTGAGGCAGGGTTCCTACGAAACACTTCTCAGCTATAGAATCTTTCTAAAACAGGTGCCATGCAGGCACAGAGCCCATATGTGTCGCACAGACGACTACTTGAACAACAACAATCACAGGTAAACAGGTTTACTTTGTTATGAGTTGTGCAAGTGCACCTGTAATAATAGCATGTGATAGCAGAATCAAGTATTTTATTTGATTGTTGTGTAAAAATGAAAAAAAAGGGTATACTGAAAAGGGAGCTTTCTGCTAGCAGAACAACACCACTGGATATTACCTATTGAAACTCAAACTCTCAATTGGCAACCACAATTTTTAAGATATCTGCTGGGTGCAAAATTTGAAAACCATTGGTGCCGCATAGCATACAGATCAATCACAGAGGGAATGGTTTGTTCAGCTTCTTGGTTTTGATGTTTTTGACTACAAATTCAAGTGGGCTTCTCAGTGTACCACAGTGGTTTACAGTTAGTTTTTGGAGAACTGTTTTCACAATCCTCAGGTTTTGGACAAGTTGTGTCAATAGCTTAAGCATGTTATTAGTTCTCTTTCCTGCCCTAACCTACCTCAGAGTTTAAACTAAGACTATGCTTTGAAAAGTGCCTGAAACATAATAAGATATAAGTTTGTGCAAATAATGAAGTTAACTGTAGTATTCTGTGGGAATCATTATTCTTATCATCATTCTTATAATCAAATGTACAGCCAGAAGGGGGGGTGCTCCTTGAAATAGTACTTCAAAACATATGATTGTAATTTGGCAGAAGAAGAGTGACATATTAAAGAGATTTTGACAGGGAACACGGCGTGTGGAGGACAGAGCTTGCAATTAACACATTAGCTAAAATAAAACACAGTTCCAAGAATGTATGCCCCTTTGCCACTAAGACTGTGATCTTATGGATATTTACAAGAGAACAAGCCTCATTGACTTAAGTAAGACTCACTTATGAGTAAGCACCATTAAGTTCACTCTGCATTGATTAATTTGTGCTACTGTCTATCCATTTCAGTCTGGCTATAATCAGCACATACTTCTTAAGGGAAAATGACTTGTTTTCTTAGTCATGTAATGTAAAAGATTGTAAAATAGGAGCACAGGGAAAGAAATACATTGGCTCATAATACCAGCCCTTAAAATGGATGCATACTTCTATTGCATGAATGTCCAGAAACAACAACCACCCACTATGATTGTGACTGCTGCAAGAAAGAAAGAAAAGACATCTCTTTTCAGAGCAATAAAAGTTTTGAAAACTCTGGCAAGTTATTAATATGTCACTGATTATTTTTCCAGGTTTATGCTCGAATGTCAGAAGTCTTGGGAATAACGGATGACAACCAAGTTCTAGACACATTTATGGCAAAAATGTGAGTTTTCAACTAAGTTATCTTTCATAGTTGTGTTTATACCCAGCACTTACAATGTAAATGATGCTAACAGTTAATTGATTTCTAACATTTGAAATGTAATATATGTGTGCAATCTACCGTATTTTTC